TTTTTTTTTTTAATTTTACAGGGGTGTGGGAGCATGGTAAACATCACAAGTGAAAAACTTCCCCATCTAGCAAGTCTTACCTGCCATCAGTACTTTGGGTACTTCACTGGTCACAGGCAGGCTTTGCATATACACATTTTAATGCATTTTAAAAATCGAAGTTACACATACATCTGGCTTTAAAGAATCAAATAACACTAGACGGATCATAATAAGTATAGCTTTCATTGCACTCCTGCAAGAAAGCTCCAGGCCCGTTGCCCAGCAATGCACTTGAAGTCTTCCCAATGTTAAACTGCTTTTTATTATTATGTCATCAAAGTCATGATTAAAATTTGACAAGTTACAGAGTGGGATGTAAAATGACATACCAGAGTAACATTAATACATTTTCATTGTTCAATGAAAACGCTGGAATTAACATTAGATGCCAGCCTTGGTGTCACTTACATAAGAACATGTTGTCTTTCTGCCTCAGAAGTATTATTACCTGTTAGTGTGTATGTGAAGATAGGAAAAAGGAAAAGTCAACATAACAGAAAAAGCAATAATCAGGTAGTGAAAGATAAGATTGAAATTGCATTGCCTCAGACTTTTTAACCATTATACTGAGTTTCTGCATACCCTATTTACCACTTTTGCTGTTAAGCAGGTGAAAAAGACAGTGAAGCAAATGTTCAGGGCACTAGACTTCTTAATACTCTCAAGAGGACAAATAAGAACACATTTAAAATTAGTTTAAGATCAAATCAGGAAACTAAAGGATAAAATCATAAATAAGATGTAGGGATTTTAAAAGAATTTTATTTGCATGCAATGGTCTCCTTTGGGCTGTCATACAATCACATGTTTCAAAAGCATGAATGCTCAGGGCACCCTCAAATACTTTAATTGGTTTGACACGGACCTAGACATTAGCGTTTTGTTAAGTTTCCCAGGTTGTTCAGAATTATTCAGCTGTTATTATAAAGTCTGAGTTCCTGCTAACAATGCACACCTTCAGGTTGAGTTATATTTACCTAGAGATGGCAAAGGATTTTCTCCTAATCATTCATGCTCATACGCTTTATATACTCTCAATCACATTAATAAAAATACTTGCTAGAGAATGGAATTTGTCTCTCTGCAAAGCTAATACCTAATAGGGATTCAGGTTGTTCTGTGTAATAAAAAATGGTTGAACAAGCAGGGCAAGTTATTTAACCATTAGCCTCTTATTGGTTAAATTATTTCTTAAAATATCTTGAAAAAAATACATAAAATGGGGCAACGTCTATTTTTCCATGATATTTTAGTTAGAGAAGAAACTCACATGATAAGCAAAAAAAAAAAAAAAAAAAAA